TTCAACCCAGAGTACTGATCCGATACACGACTTCAGACATCAGGGAACGATGATGGGACGACACGAGCACGTTGGGGTTGGCACTGTAGGGAGGGATCAGCATCTCATACACGACAGACACGGGGTTGAGGGTGGGCCGAAATCGGAGGAGGGCCAGCCTGGAGGGGATGCACAGAGGAGGCACTTGTCGTGGAGGCACCGTCTAGGGTCTCGCGGCATTGGGCAGGGCAGTAGGCTGTCCAGTAGGAGTAAGGATGAGGGGATGAAGGAGGAATGGAAGACAGAAGAGGAATCGTCTTATCTCTACTGCAAGCAGGAAGGACAAGGGGCAAGCGGGTTTGGGTCGTCAGGGGTAGTAGCGTCAGGTGATTGTGATGTTATATCAATCTCCTCTGATGGAGAGGACAGGGCGGCTAAGGAGGAGGAGGAGGTGTGGTTGGATACAGAGTTCGTATCGTACCGTGACCAGGAAGTGATCGATCTCACTGATGATGTTGTCGAAGCTGAGATTGTGGACGACGGGGGGATGTTGACCACGGACTACTGCGAGAAGGAGGAGTCTCCTCGTGGGTGTGATGTCAAAGTCGAGAACCCCATCCTTACCCCTCCTGGTGCACCACAGAAAGCTGAGAGTAGCTGTCTGTCTACAGCCCCGAAGACGCCTGAAGGGAGAACCAGAGTGAAGATCAGCTCCACCAAGGGGAAACGACGTAGTCCCGGCAGCAGCTGTGGAAGTAAGCGCCGCAGAAGTGTGCCGGCCTCCCGATCCCACGCTGAAGGTGGTCAGTGGCGACAGCCTCCTGAGACGTTCAATGTTGAGGATGATATCGGTGAGGCACTCGGAAGCGGATATTCTCTGAGTACTCACATTCAGGATGTGAACGAGAAGCCTTGGACGAGCGGCTGAGGTCCAACATGCTTCTCCACTCTGTGGTGTGGGGGAGGGTCTGCCTTGATGAGGCACACCGCATTCGGAATAGGACGACTAACACTGCGCGAGCTGCGTGAGTGGAGGGATACCCTACGTCCCGGCAATTCAGTTTTACCCTTAGGTGTGCTCTGAGGTGCCGTTATCGTTGGTGCCTCACCGGTACCCCCATACAGAATCGCGTTGGTGATTTATATTCCCTAGCGAGGTGAGAGGATCTCAGTGGATCATAGAACTCCGTAATCGTATATTAGATTCTTGCGAGTGCGACCGCTGTCCACGACGGGGTGCGATACGTCGGGTTGTCCCTGTGAGGTTTTGGACCACCCATGGGACGACGAATGCCACGAGTGTGGGCATTCTAAGCACGCTCATTATAACTACTTCAACCGTTTCATCGCTAGGCCTATACAGAAGTGAGTCAGCCCCATCGTGAGTGATCAGTTGCTTCCTAGGTCCGGCCTGACGTCGGTTGAGGGAGCTCAGGGGATGCGCATCCTTCGCTCGCAGTTGCTGAGGAAGTTCTTGTTGAGGCGAACTAAGTCTCAACGAGAAAGCGACGTGAAGCTACCGCCTATGGAGGAGAGGCCAGTCATTGCCGTGCTGTCTGCGGCGGAGGCAGTCTACTACCAGGAGCTCTACGAACAGTATCGGGCCAAAATTTTGAAATATGCGAAAGAGGGGGAACTGGCTGTGCGCATGGTGGAAGCCTTGAAGATGATATTGCGACTTCGCCAGGTGAGAGGCACTGAGAAGTATAGACTGTATTGGAATGCTGTGTAGGCGGCTAACCATCGCTACTTGATACATCATCAGCCGAAGGGGGATATCTACTGTGTAGCCATCCCCGTATGTGCCGTAATCTCCTAGAGTTGCGTATGCGTGTTAGAGCATCTGCCACGAGGAAATCCCATTACGAACTGGGTGTTCGGCCCAAGCCCTTGCCAAAGCGAAGTGTGACCATATCTTCCACAAGTATTGCATCACTGGTTCACTCGATGCTTTCCTGATTCGCTTGTTCTTTCCTTAGTTCCTGCGCACAGTCGTGGCTCCGTCTCCGAAGCCAGCAGTGTCCAGTTTGTCAACAGCCACTAGTGGTTCGCTATGGCAATGTAGGGGAATGTCATGTGGCTTCGATCGTGATTTGACCAGCCGCATAGATTTTATCTGATGGTGATGATGCGGATGATGGAAACCTCGCTGCATGCATGAGTGGGCTCCGGGAACTCCAAAACGACCCGAGACTGCCTCGGAAGCACAGCATACTGAAGAGAGCACCAGTAGCCAATTTCGAGAGCTCTTCTAAAATAGAGGCGTTAGTCGCGGAGGTGGAAGCTATGAGGAAGGCGGATGGAGAGGCTAAGGGGTGAGCAAATCTGGTGCCGGAGTAGAGCTGATGTTTAGTTCGACACAGTACGCGCAATCTGAGGCCTCAACTACTGCTGATGTCAATCTGAAATTTTGTATAGAAACTCTAGGGTCTCTCAGATTGCACGTACTGTAATTAGAATCTAGTTCTTCGGGGAGTTGAATGAAGTCTCGCCCTGGGATCCTGTACATATCATTTGCATTTCAGTCTCGTGTTTTCCTCGTTTGTATCACTATTGGAGCTATGCCAATACAGGCTACATAAGGCAGGCATCACCACGTTGGTAAGCATCAGGATGCTGTAGGGTATGTGCTCTGATGCTACTACAGATCCTTCATGGTGAGCTACCGCTGCCTCTACGGGCCAAAGTGATGAAAACCTTCGTTGAGGTGAGGGTAGGAGAGTGTATGGAGACGATGGTCCTTGTTGTGTCAGTCCTCGGCTGATACATGTCCACTGTTGTTGATATCCCTCATGTCGGGTGGTGAGGGCCTCAACCTACAAGTAGCAAACCATGTCTTCCTATTGGGTGAGTCTTTTGGGCACTTCCACCTTGATGTTGTTATACGAAAATGTCTAAGCCTCTGTGACTTGCGGCTGAAAATTTATCATGGCCCGGATTAGGATATACGCAAGTGCAGATACATTGTGAATTCCCCGACGCTGATGCTTTGAGTATTCTGCTCTCAGATCCATGGTGGAACCCCGCCGTCGAACAGCAGGCCACCCAGAGGGCTCATCGGTTGGGCCAGAGCAAGCGGGTTCAAGTCCTGAAGATGTTGACACATGATACAATAGAAGATCGGATCGTAGCGCTGCAAGTAGGCTCGCTGGTCCTGTAGCGTTGAATACTCGTTCATCACTGTAGGAGAAAAAGCGGGCTGTGTGTCGTGGTATAATAGATGGTGACGGCAGTCTGGACGGTCTCTCATTAGAAGATATCAGGTTCCTATTCCAACTCTAAGGTTGTCATAGATCGTACATTGCTCTTGTATGCTGTTTTTCAACACACAAGCCACGTTGGCATGGTTGCTACCGCAGTCGCTACGGCTTTGGCGTTTATACGATCAAGAATATGAAATTGAGTTGAGGGCTATTCGAAAGAGCGTCATCGTGTTACAGAGTTGATTATGAAATCTCAAATTTATCGCAGAAAGTACTGTTCATCCGGTAGGGAATATGCGTCGATGTTAGCGAGTTGGATAGTACAGCAAACCCTAATTGGGTTATTGGAAAAGGTACGGTAGATGCTTGGCAACGGGCGATTCGGTATACCTCTGAGCAAATAGAGGGATGTTTGCCAGAGCGGTTACCCAGTGGTGTGACAAGGGTGCAATATGTCGGATTGCGTCGTTTGGTGTTCGGTTTGGCTGGTATTGATATGCTAACATTTTCATCATTTGTCGCGCTCGTCGCTCTGCCTCAAGTCAAACTCCGAAGGAATAGCAACCCAGGAGAGGAAAGTTCTGTGTGGTTCGTTTGGTGTAGCTCTTCATCTTCACATGATCGGCGTCGTAAGTTGCCACATTCGATTCGAATTCCCTCTCCGTAGTGTGCTATTAGTGGGGATCATAGTCCGTGAGCCGTGCAGTAGGTGAGTCTCGAAACTCGTCATGTGAGAGCCTTCCTGTGACCATGGGGCCCTCAAATCTCGCCTCGATCGAACACACGTGGTTTATAGCTACGAAGTCCTGACTGGATGCTCCGATATGCATTCGTATGGCAATGGGGAACGCTTTTGCATCATCGACAGTTTGGCCGAGTGGTCTAAGGCGCTGGCTTAAGGCGCCAGTCCGAAAGGGCGTGGGTTCGAACCCCACAGCTGTCAGAGTTATTGGAGTGATTTTTAGCTTTTGCTCATTGTCATTTTGCTCGTCCTTGCCTAGGGCAGCTGGCTAGCCTAGTATAGATGGTAATATATCTATTAGTCCTATGATGGAGCAAGTCGATTATGGAGGAATCTGAAGCACCACCTGGAGACATTTTGCACGCAAACACATATGCTCGTAGCACCTGCTGCAAAGTTTGCAGTGCAAACCGTAAAACGGATTCCGCAATGTCTGTTCAGTGACCTCAATGAGTAAGAGCGTATTGCTCTGTCGAGAATTGTCATACTAAACTTGAATCCCTGTAGATCAATCATTACGGTATTATTGTGTTGGGATGTGTGGCAGTTCATCCTCTGTGTCGTTGAACGCAAAATCTCTCGTGTGGTGTCGCTTCTGGCTCTTCAGAACAAGTCCTGCGGGCCCTTATATAATTCGATGATCGATTATGTGATCGAATTTCGATCATAAGGTCTGACATGGGCTTCGTCCTGTTTTCATTAGTGGCGGCAACACGCCCTTCTAGCCTCTTAAATGGATATACCCGTGTCGTTTGATCTCGAGAATTTCTTATCTGCGGAGAGTTCCCAACTGAAGAAGCCGGCATGCGGGGTGAAGTGGGATCCTACGACCAGAAATTGGATCACCGAAACTATGCAAGGGAAACTGAAGAAGAAACAGGCTGACGCTCTGCAGGAGTGGAGGTTTGAAGTTGACCTGGCGAAGTCAGGACTGAGCACATGCCGACGGTGTGGACACAAGATACCGAAAACGTCGTTACGATTTGGATATCCCGTGGAAGACCCTCGAGGCGACCTTGGAGCGATCATTATTTGGTTCCATGCGGAATGTGCACCGTTCAAGTTCCTGGAGATAAACGGATCCCTCGAGGGCCTAGTGGATGGGTGATTCTTTTACTCATGCTGAACGAGTAAATTATTTCTGTTGCTGTCAGGGACTCGGGAGCTTCCTCTGAGAATCTCGTCTCTGATCCATCTGAATGGTTCACTGAGAACATGATGGGATTCGGGGGTTTGGCGGAGGAGAATAAGGAAGTGCTCCTAGGGGTGTTCCGGAAGCGCCATGAAAAGAAAGAGGTGGAGGACTTGGACATAGGAGGGATGAAGCACATGGTCTCCAAGTTGCTCGTGGACAAGTTTACTCCCCCTGACGAGGTTGGTGACAGTAGGTGTAGAGTATCGGCAATATTCTATATCGTTGTCAGCTAGTGATGCCACTACTAGCCTTCCAGAAGGAAGGTCTCGCCTGGATGTGCAACCAGGAGCTTACCAAAGAGTGCAGAGGCGGGGTGTTGGCGGACGAGATGGGCATGGGCAAGACCATCCAGGCTGTGGCTCTAGTCATGAAACGATTGAAGGAGACGAAGGGGCCGACCTTGGTGGTCTGTCCAGTGGCAGCAGTGATGCAGTGGTACAGCGAGATCCATCGCTACCTCAAGCCCGACTCTCTGAAGGTCCACGTCTATCACGGCAACAAGCGGCTGAGTGGTGAGGACCTTCTCAAGTTTGATGTGGTATTGACGACGTACCAGACGATGGAATACGAATACAGGAAACAACTGAACAAGTTGAAGTCCATCTGTCGATACTGTCAAAGAGCCTTCCTGCCCGATAAGCTCATCTGGCATCAGAAATATATGTGCGGTCCTGATGCGGAAAAAACGGCCAAGCAGAGCAAGACCCACAAGAAGTTTAGGGAGGCTGCTGAGGCCGCTAAGAGGACCTTGGGGATTCCTACAGCTAGTGTGGAGGGAGCGTCCGAGAGCCCGGAATCGAAGCGGGGTCGGTCGAAGGGTAAGGCTGAGAGCGATTACAAACCCCCTACAATGGGCAACGTCCTGAGGGAGGTGATGGCAAAGGCTGGCATGGAGAATGCTGAGAAGGCCAGCATTTGGAAGGTTAAGGAGTTCTATTGGGCCAAGCAGCGAGCTAAGCATGAGGAGAAAGGGATCAAGCTGGCCGAAGTAGATGAGGCCAGCATACGTAGGATGACCATGCGGGAGCTCAAGGAGGTTATTATGGACAGGTAAGAGCAGCACCTTAGCGAGGCGCGATGGGCGTTGGCTTAGGTATCCTGGCATGGACATACCCAATCAGATGAGGCGTGCCGAGCTGGTGTCGCTTATTCTTGAGATGGAGGAGGACAAGGGGGAGGTGAACGGCGAGTCGAGTGAAAGGAAAGTTGGTGATGGGAACGAACACCGAGTTGAGCGACTCTCGGCGACGGACATAGGGAAGCTGAAGGTGGCAGAGCTGCGAGCTAAGTGCCAGGAGATGGGACTTGACACGTCTGGCTTGAAGGCCGCCCTGGTGGCGAGGGTCCGCGAGGCTGTTGACAACGAACGTATAGCTAGGATGAGGAAGACGACTAAGGGTGCGGCAGCTCCAGAGGGCAGCGTGGACACTCCGGAGAGGAAAGTTAAGAAGCAGGTGAAGGTGGAAGAGCCGGTGTCGATAGAAAAGGCTGGGCAGCGACGTAGAGCACCTTCCCGTCGGTGTAAGGTGAAAGGCAGCCCCTCGAGCGCGAGCACGGTGGCCCCTCGGACTGTGAAAGGCAGCCGATCCTCACCGGTGAGCCTAGGCAGTAGTCCAGACTCGACAGGAAATAAGGAAGACGCCACTCTGTCGGTGTCCGAGTCGTCGGCATCATCATCGTCATCAGATAGCTCATCATCCCCTCCTAGCAAGAAGCGTAGGATGAGCACGTCGAAGAAGCGAGCTGTTGTCGCTCGACTACGACAAACTGTGAAGCCACAGGCGGGCAGAGGGCCGCCTCAGTCCTCCAAGCGCCCTAAGAACTCCGAAGATGACGATTATGAACCCAGCGATGCTACTGCAAGTGGCTCTAGTAGCGAGAGCGAGGCTACTGGGGATGATTCGGACGAGTCGAGCGATAGTGAAATTGAAGTTGTGAAGAGGAAAGGTCGACAGGCGAAGCGTCGGGGGTCGACGTGTGCTGGTCGGGTGACAAGAGCTGCAGCGAAGAAGGTGCGAAATGAAGAGGAGGATGATGACGATACCTCCGGTAAGCCGCCCGGGGGATTAGTCTTGAGTCAATATCGTTGTGCGTTAGATTGCGAGAGGAGTGACTTGGATCTGTCGAAGTCCGCCCTTCACAGTGTACGTTGGGGCAGGGTCATCCTGGATGAGGCCCATCGAATTAAGGGACGGACAACAACGACTGCCCTTGGAGCGTAAGAGGCTCCTCTAGGTGCTTTCAGTGATCGACTCATAGGTATGCATTGAGGGCTGAGTACAGGTGGGGGCTCAGCGGGACGCCTTTGCAGAATCGCGTGGGAGAGCTGTACTCGCTCGTGAGGTAGGCGTCCGAGTGGAAACCCTACGCTGTTTTGCTGAGACTGTCACTGAAGGTTCTTGAAGTATGATCCGTATGCCTTCTACTTCTGCAAGACCAAGAACTGTGACTGTAAGTCCATGGCTTACCGTTTCGAGGACAACCGATACTGTAAACGGTGCGGTCATACTAAGATGCAACATTACTCCTATTTCAACCAAACCATTAGCAAGCCTATTCTGAAGTGAGCAGCGGGACTCGATCGGATATCGATTGGACTCGATTCTTCTTTAGTCTGTCAGCAGCGTTGATGCCATTTCTTTCAGGCATGGGTTCTCGGGAATTGGCAAGGACGCTTTGAAAGAGCTGCGCGATCGGGTTCTGGATCGTCTGCTATTGCGACGTACCAAAGAGGAGCGTGCTGATGACCTACACCTGCCTTCGATGACTGTGAGCATCAGACGAACGGAGCTCACGGACAGCGAGAAGGACTTCTACGAGAGCTTAGCAATGCAGAGTCAACTACGCTTCGACGTCTATGCTAATGAGGGCACGGTTCTTAATAATTATGCTCATATCTTCGACCTCTTGACGAGGCTACGTCAGGTAGGCGTCGTGACCCCATACTCCCGTCTCAGTGTTTCCACAGGCAGTAGATCATCCCTACCTCATCGTCCATGGCATGGATTGTGGTTCTATCCCTGCTAAGAGCACTGCTGGGAGGGATAGGGCTGACATATGCGTAGGATTTCCCTGTTGCTAGCTGAGTAGAAGCCAGCTCAGGTGTTGTGCCAAGACGACATACCAGCTCGTACCACCAACGAGGATGAGGCTCAGGCCAAGGCTACGTGTGGTCACAGTTTCCATAAGTACATCATGAACGGGGTCGTTTCGACTTGACCAGTTTCATTATGTCAGTGAGTGCGTGAGAGATTTTCTGCGCGAGGCTCCTCAGTTGCCGCTGAATGGAGGAATCGGATGCCCTGCGTGCTTCGCTCCGATAACAGTCACATTCGGGCAGGTAGCTCGGGTTTCCTTTGATTATACCAAGTTGACAAGCATATTCTGCGTGTCATTACTCATTTGTCAGGCTATTGAGGAGGAGGACGAGAGTCAGCAGGGATCACCATCGCCCGAAAAGGTGAAAGAGAGTGCAGCTATCGGCGGACGGTCGAAGAACAGTATCCTCAATCGTATCAAAGCTGACGAGTTCGAGTCGTCAGCTAAGATTGATGCTTTACTTGACGAAGTCAGGAAGATGAAAGAGAGGGATCCCTCTGCTAAGGGGTACGATACCCTGTCTATGATATTAACTAATAAAGTTTGGTTTTCTCAAACAATTCCAGGTTGGTATTCTCCCAGTTCAGCCGTATGCTAGAACTCGTGGACTTCAAGCTACGGCGAGAGGGGATTTCCTGCTTGGTAAGGATCACCATCTTCTTGTCTCTGTGAAGTTCTTCGGGATTTGTTCTTCGTTGCTGAATGATCCCTAAAGTTGTACGCTGTGCGGTATGACAGTTCTGTCTAGGTTCTTCACGGTGGCATCCCTATGGCTCAACGATCCAATATACTTCTGTCCTTCCGCCAGGTAGTAGTTTGCAATCTGTTGATTAGCTCATGCTCCTCTCCTCAGGACCCTGAATTCACACTACTGCTCATCTCGCTCAAGGCTGGTGGCGAGGGGCTGAATCTTCAAGCTGCCAGTTGCGTATTCCTGCTTGGTGAGCTACTACTTCTCTCCCAATTGTACCACTTGGTGCTCTTCGTGTATTCTCTTTCGACTTATATGGTATGAGTTATAGCCTCACTCTCGGTGCTTTGAATGCTCGGCTACTAATCGAGTCGACCGAGTCCTCTCCTTCACTATCGAAACATGAAAATCTCAAGAGGATACTCGTAGCCTCATCTTATTGGATGTAGTGTGAAATTTTCAAATCTCACATCTTCGATGTTATATAACTTTAAAGTTTGAGCCTGCCTTTCCTAGCGAGTAGGCTGCCCCCTAGATCCATGGTGGAATCCAGCGTATGAGCAACAAGCGATCCAAAGAGCTCATCGACTTGGCCAGACAAAGGCCGTTAATGCTGTGAGATTCATCACTAAGGATACCGTCGAGGAGAGAATACTGGCCCTACAAGTAGTCAACTGCTTTTCGAAACTCTCATTACATTCTGACTGTACCTCAGGAGAAGAAACAGCTCGTGTTCGACGGCACCGTAGGTGGAAATGAACAAGGCGCGCTCCAGAAATTAGCGGTCGAGGATCTTCGATTCCTCTTCCAGCAGTAGTCACTTGATTATTGCTCACTTCGGAGGGATATACGATGATACAGCATGAGTCAAGTCCATTGTTGATGCTCTTGTTGTTGCTACGTACTTATAAAGGAGCGATGTACAGTACAGAGTTGTTACAATGCACGCACTTATATCTTATATCTGAATCTAACAATCTTTCACAGTGTCGAGTTTGTAACATCATCATCATCATCTATCTTTCGCTTTCATAAGAGTCGATCCGCAATCACTATAGTTCGGGGCAGCTATGCCACTATCCTAGAACACACACATGACAGCACTATTGCCGTTTTCTGATGGCGATGAGTATTGTGAATCATCATGTGCATCTTGGACTGCCGTGGTGGTTGCAACACAAGCGCCGCCCTCGGTGTGGCATATCTGCCCCAGGCGGAAACGGCAGAATTTACTTCCAAAATTCGTGGGAATCGAAGTGACTTTGCTTGCGCAGACAAAATCGATGTTCCTATCGCGTGTCCCCGTGAAAGTGGTTGTTCTAGAGCGTATCTTGGAGTTGTGGCATAGGTGCCCCGGCCGACAGAATTGATTTCACTACAAATTTAAATAGACCTTTAAAGGGTGTGTAACATCCACTCTGGTATAGAGCGGTTGACCTCCTCATTGAGATGCTCCTGCCGGGACCGACTACGATCATCAATCGTTATGAATGCAATCCGGTGCATCTGGCGACAGTGTCACCCGATAGCGCCTATTTGGCTACTGCTATCAAGACTGGTGGGTTCTTTTTGGCAAACTGGGAAGCTTTGTTGGACCCTGGCAGGTTGTTCTGGCTCCCGCATCGTGGTCCGAAAGATGTCTTCTCACGACTCTGAGGACAACGTTGTTGCTAGTATAGCGTTGCCAGGCCTGGCAAGCAGCGGCAGAGGTTTCTCTGTGCTCATCTGGTCTCCTGACTCGAGACTCCTCATGGCATCACATAACGAACACGGGTCTATCGTAATTATGTCACCCATCGATAATCCTGACTGGAAATGTACCATTGAGCAAGGGTTTAGAGGACTAGCTGCCTGCATGTGGGCACCGGATAGTCGGTGAGTCTCCATTTGTTTCACGACTCAGACGTTTTGCAGGCACGTACTCGCCCTGGGGGACTTTTCATTGGGACTTGATATTTGGAGTCTCAATACTCAGTCCAACACTATGCGTGTCGATCACGCCAAGTCGCCGTTCGGCCATTCTGGTGAGTTTAAGCTCTCTGTTCGCGACCTGAAAGTCTTCCAGCGCCTATCGCTGCGGCGCCCTCCATGTCCACGGTAGCGTTCAATAACTCTTTCCGGTATTTATCGGTTATCAGGAGACGAGTAGGTCCCTCCGTTGCAATGCATCATCTCGCACTCATCGTCAGGACTGCAAAGACTCCATCTCGATACATGATCCACGAGAGGGCTTTAAAAGGGCAAGTCTGGGTCATCTAGATAAACTCCAGATGAACTCTGCTATTTCGGGCCACTGCTATATCGAAAATTAGGTCTATCAATTCGAGCTTGCGACAAACGATGCATGCAACGTCGTATGGCCTCCATTCAAAGACTCGCAGCTTCTCGTATGCGAGAGCCCTGTAGCCTATCCGGCAACCGTCGCCCTCTTTTACGTGTATTCGGTAACGGGAGAGCAATTGATGGTCCTGAAGGCTCCAAGCGACGGCTTGTCGCGCTTGGCCATATCGCCACTGGGGAACCTAGTAGCGGCGGGAACCGTCGGAGGGCAGACGTTCATCTTCAACACGGGTGAGCAACGCTGCTGATATGACATTTACTGTGACCTCATCATACCGGGAACAGATACTTATGCATTGGTGGCGTCTTTCTCACACGGCGACAAATCACTCACTTCCAATGCCGATGAGAGAGGGAAGTTGCTCATCTACAAAATGGAGGATCAACATGAGAAGGGGCCAAGATGTACACATTCGTGAGAGCGCGAAATGCCACTGGGAATTTGCAGGCCTGAGATCCGTCAACGATGAGCTTTCCTGTCCTGCGATCATTTCTTCCATCTTCGTAGGGTTTTTGGTAGTGAACTGATTGCAATCTGAGGGTTACATAAAGACGCTCATTCCCCTGAATCATGCCTCGGCGATCCTGATTCCCAGAAACCGCAATGCGAGGGAATCCCTAGCCTTGTGGTTTCTTTCAAGGATTCCCTATTAGAGAAGCCTGCTGACTAAGTTCTTCTCGTCCCTCTGTCTTGATGTGACTATCGAATTGATGATGAAACTCATCCTTGTGCTGTTTCAGATGAACTCCAGGACGGGCTTGATGAAAGCTTGATGAAAGACCTCATCCCTACGACAGGGCTCGGTTGTCAGAAAGCCCCTCTCATCGTAGGAGAATATCATTTCCCTGCCTACATTTATGGGATGCACCAAAAGCACGACTATTTGGCTCAGGATTCTTCCGAATTTGGAAATGCGCGAATCGACAAGCTTGAATGGAGCCCTTCGGGAAGATATCTTGCAACTCTGGACGGTATGTTTTCATGAGGCACCGTATTCCGCTGCATTGACGCCGTGTATTTGACGGTGTGGTACTGAACGTTCTCTTGTTTCAGAACGACAACCAACCACCATCTATGTCTGGTGCTGTTCGACCTTACGTCCACTTGCAGTGTTCCTCCACCCGTATAAAGTTGAAGACTTCAAATGGGATCTTCATGAAATTGCGAATTCCGAAAATCGTGCTCGACTGATAGGTGCTGTGCTCGGGACGCGAGTACACCAGTGACTGTCTTCTTTCAACTTAGTTACCATGGGTCAGCAACAAGTTCATAGCTGCATTATATCACCGAACGGTCCTTTTCCTGAAGCTGCTCGGAGCTTCAAGCTCCCTCGTCAGTCCTCGGCAAATGCGATATCCTGGTCCGCGACTGGCGAGATTCTGATAGTTAACGATAATAAACATGGAAAGATATCAGTCCTGACTCGTGCGCATCTGACAGGCCCGCACGGCGGGTGACAAGCGTTTCTTTGCTGTTTCGCGTTCAGTAATTCAAGTGACATGTCGCTCGGTTGTGGATTAACAGCAGAGCGCTAGGACAGTACAACTGCAGAGTCAACTGAGTCGGTTCGCTAACACTCCCTCCGCTCTCGGAGGTTGCCTCGTCCACTTGCTCTCCTCTGCCAACCTAAGTGACCAGTGACTCACTGGCAGTGAGTGCAACCAATTGAGCATAGTAAATACTCCAGTGGATAATGTGAGGTCCCGTAGGAATGCGGCAACAAAGGAGAAAGTATCACCAAAACAACGAACCGGAGGATTTCCATCAGGAGCCATGGAACTTAATGACGTCCACCTCACACTCTCTCAACACTACTGTGCCTCGATGAAAATCGTAAAGACGTGGAATTACGTTGCAAAGAAACCGTAAGGCGCCCTATGATGTTTGCTCCTTATGGGTCCTCGTGAAATATGCCCCCGCTCACTCCACACAGGAAGTATCGCATGATCAACCATCGAAGTTGGCTGATAACAATCGAACGGATTCGATTCACACACAGTCTAGGAGCAATAACAGCTAAGAGGCTTCGCCGAATAAGGTTAAACAGAACGCAGAGACTCCTACCACGCATTGGCTCCACTGGCGCCCAATTGCGACACACGTCAGTCTGACGGGGAATCTTCTACCATGAAAAATGAGACATGTACCTGTGGATCTCCTTTAGCGATGAGAAGATCTTGAGCTGCCCAGTATTTTTCCGCTTGAGCTGCTCAGGGATCATCCGAGCAGACAAATATGTGGACAATGATCGGCGAACGAAATCAATGCGCGTGATCCCGCGGCAGGATCCTCGGGAAGCAGCGCGCACATTCACTAGGGCGGGATTCACGCCCTATTGAATGTGCGCCCGGCGCACGCTGACACGCATCGGCGATGCGTGTGATGCGGCATCGCACAAGCAGATATTTCCCCAATATTGCCTTCCTAACGTCTGCCTTGGTACTTTAGCTGCCCTCACGGTATTAGAATTCTCATGCAAGCATTCCGATGGCGATAAAGCTTCGGATTAACTGGCAAGAACCTTTCTTTTCATTCAAACGGGTAATCCATTATGGGTCACGCCGAAACGTGAAGACAACGGTATCGCGCCACGAAGAACAAACGAGAATCGCGTCACGAGGAACAAATGTGAATCGCGTCACGTGTGCTCAAGCGGCCATCAACGCCGGAATGCAAGGTCAGAGACAGAACACCTTCTCGCGAGCTGAAATGTCGCGCTCCCGTGTGTCGTTACGAGGATAGAACTCCAACTGTTGATTTCTCAGTTGCTGGTCAGGTTTCCGCAGGAACATCCAATGGCTTCTCCCATCCTCTTCCTCGCTCTTTTCATAACCTCAGTGGTTGGTAAGCTCCCTGACCATCTTCCCAGTAAGTACTGCATCGAGATTGTCTATGGTGGATTTTTTGATAAGCTGTATGTTCGCCACGAAGTCACTTTCTTGAACGAGCATTTCATGAAGTACGAGCAGTACAACTGGCGATGGTTCATTCCTATCTGGAGGCATAAGCGCGGGTTGGAGAAAGTACCAATGCACTACAACCCTTGCTACGATGCCCCTCAGCCCTACGTTATGGATCGTGACTTCAGCGGGTTCTACTTCACCAAGGAGCAATTTGCCGCCATGAGACATAACGAGACCACCGATGAGCTCAACATGATGATCGACAATGTGCCCCGCATGCTTGCAAGGTGCCCAATCTCGAACATGCGCAAGGTGCCGGCCAGTGTCGTGGACGCTGAGGCGATGCCCGATGTTTCCGATTAGTGGGCATGGAATGGGTATGGTAACTGTTAGGCAAGTTTTGAGCTTGGTCCGTACTGACGCTACGGTAGGGAAAAGCAGGTACCGCCCTGATATTTCAAATACTCGTCCTAGATCTGGATCTTCTTTCATCATCCTTATCTCGGATGAGGTATTTTTTTCCGCATCTTCTTTATTTTTCGTTCTCGCTCTTTAAAGGTTCCGCTTGGTTGAGTTGTCATAATGATTGCGATGGGACTACACCTTTCTCCGTGCTGCACAGGCCGTGTAAGTTTGACAAGTGAGCAGGCAGGACTGACTGTGTTACCAGCAAGTATGACCTTGTGAACTCAAGCATGCCACAATTCAATTATGTTACAATCAAGAATGACAATATGATCCAAGTTCGCCACTACCAGAATATATCACAACCTTGACAGACAATGAAGATTCGCGAAACTCTCACGCGTATTGAGTATTACAAAGACATCAGGCTACACCGGATCCGAGTGAACTACTCGTCTATCATAGCTTGGACTTATCCGTTTTAGGCATTTCCCCCCAAAATTTTAGAGAGTATGACGCCGCAAGCGAGACACTCGACTAACCAGTTCCTTCGCTACTCGGCGGAGATTCTTCAACAATACGCATCCTAGATGTAGCAGCTCTGTAACGCAACCCAGCTCAATTTCGAGCGCTGGATGGCCTTTCCTGTACCATCAAAGAGCTTGAGAACCTTCCGTTGGCTCCCCGCAGTACTTAAATGTCTTTGACAACGTCCAGTATAGATAGCGGCTCGTCCGTCAGTACTGATCTCTAGCTAATCATGATGGCAGGTCGACTCGACCCTTAGAGGTGACGCCCTAAGAGATCAAGGAAGCGATACTCTCGGGGACCTCGAGTCCACCAAGCTCAGGGAACCTTGAGTACTCAAGATAGGTAGCCCCATCCGGATTCACGTTGCCCGACACCCGAAATGCACGCATGAGAATCGCTATGCGAACTCAAGCGCGTTTTACACCAAGAAACTGATTTTAGTGCAATACGGGAAATCAACCATGTATTCCTGGACCTCGAAAACATGATAACAAGCTCGTGGGTAATACGGATACCTTCCGTGTTGGGTTGATATTACAAATGTGACCCGCATGTTTCCAAGATGCAAAGGCCCACGGGATACGAGCCTGCTTAAGGTGCGGACCGGGGTTATGGACTCTGAGATGATCGCGGATATGTCCGATTAGAGGCCATGGAATGGGTATGGTGATTGACAACTACTAATTGTTGAGCAGATTCTCAGCTTGTCTCGTAATGACGCTGCATCAGGAGTAAGCAGTTACCGCATTGCTGTATCCATCAATGAGTCTGAATTTTCTTTCACTATACTTGCCTCAGGCGAGGTATTTTTAATCTTTACGACTTTCCGTGGTGCAAGGGCCCGCCGTAAGTCACCATAACCTGATCATCAGCCGTTATCTGTGTTTGCCCTGTTGATCGATGGTGCCATCACTAAGCTGTATTCACTGGCTGTGTTCAAGACTTACAATCAGCTATGCTGATCAGTGATTGCCTTAGTATATACTCATGGCTATTGCAACCAAATGCCTGAGAGTAGTGTTGAGAAGCAAGAGTCGGGAGGAAGATTGGAAGTAGAATTCCTGCGTCTACGACTGACACCAGTGGAGCTCGCTCCTTAATAGCCTCGTTTATTTTCACAACGAATGCGATGGGACTACACCTTTTCCCGTGCAGGTTAGACAACTTTCAAGGCAAGAATCACAGTGTTCCAAGTAGTAGACTTTGAGAATTCATGTATATCATAACTAAATGATGTTACAATCATGATTGGTAATTGAAATCTAAGTCTGTTACAATGAAAATTTCGTTCGATTCTTTTTTTGAGAGTTAAGATTGACTCGTACGCGTTCGTTGAGTAAGACAACGATTTTACACTACCACGGATCTCCCAAGATTCTCTCTTCAATGATGAGACTACACATCTCCCAAGTGATGCGCCAATCGTGTCGGTACATACCTTCTGCCGCAGAAGTTCTGCGTCCAGTGATACACGAGTGAGACGTATAGCGGCTCGTGATTGTAATTTGTTCAGCTCTAGTCAGAACGCTAGATGGTTTCACCTTACCATTATCATCAGGGAGCTTAAACGTCTTGTTCATCTCTGCCGTTGGGTCGCTATCGGCAAATCTGGTTGTCAGTGACAACCAAATGTACTGGAAACTGTCAGTGATAACTTGTCACTGACAGTTTCCAGTACAGATCTTATATACCATTGACCATGGGAGGGTCAGAAGTAGGAGAGGGAGTGGTAGCGGTAGTCGGCCTGATCGGAGACGCTCCCAGGGTCCGGGAATCTTGCCCATCCAACCCGGATACGTGGATAGGACTGCGACACGGCGCTCCTGAGTTACTGCCTCTCTCCACCGTGATGAGAAGAGCAATACTAGGCATACTAGGAGGCGGCGGAGGCTTCTTGCCAGGGACGTCGGTACTGCGGAGCCCTAGGGTAGATGGGGGAACACTAGGCCTGCTAGAGGAGCACTCCAACCACGCATTGGCGACAACTGGTGCCCAATGGCGACGCACGTCAGTCTGACGGGGAATCGATGGGAATTTCCCATACCAATCTTCTACCATGAAAAATAAGCCATGTAACCTTGGATCTCCTACAGCGAAAAGAAGATCTCAAGCTGTCCAGTATTTTTCCGCTTGAGCTGCTCAGGTTCGTTCAAATGGTTGACCCATTACGGCCGAAATATGGAGACAACGGTATCGCGCCACGAGGAACGAACAAGAATCGCGTCACGAGGAACGAACAAGAATCGCGTCACGAGGCACGAACAAGAATCGCGTCACGTGGTGCAATACCTCAAGCGGCCATCAAAGCCGGAATGCAAGGTCAGAGACAGAACACCTTCTCGCGAGCTGAAATGTCGCGCTCCCGAGTGTCGTTATGAGGATAGAACTTCAACTGTTGATTTCTCAGTTGCTGGTCAGGTTTCCTCAGGAACATCCAATGGGTTCTCCCATCCTCTTCCTCGCTCTTTTCATAACCTCAGTGGTTGGTAAGCTCATTGACGATCTTCCCAGCAAGAACTGCATCGAGATTACCTATGGTGGATTTTTGAAGAAGTTGTATGTTCGCCACGAAGTCACTTTCTTGAACGAGCATTTCATGAAGTACGAGCAGTACAACTGGCGATGGTTCATTCCTCGCCTGGAGGCATAAGCGCGGGTTGGAGAAAGTACCAATGCACTACAACCCTTGCTACGATGCCCCTCAGCCCTACGTTATGAATCGTGACTTCAGCGGGTTCTACTTCACCAAGGAGCAATTCGCCGCCACGAGGCATAACGAGACCACCGACGAGCTCAACATGATCATCAATAACGTGCCCCGCATGCTTGCGAGATGCAAAGGCCCGTGGGATACGAACATGCGCAAGGTGCAGGCGGATGACGTGGACGCTGAGACGCTCACCGATATGTCTGATTAGAGGCCTTCGAATGGGTACAGTAACTTTTGAGCAGATTTTGAGCTCGCCCGTACTGATGCTACACTAGGGGGAAGCAGTTACCGCCCTAAATACTCAGCCATAGGTCTGAATTTTTTCCATTCCGCATTTTCATTCCGTAGAGCTCACTCCCTGATACTTTCGTTTGGTTGAGTTGTCATGATGACTGCGATGGGACTATAACCTCCCCTATGCTGCACAGGCCGCTAACGTTTGACAAGCGGGCAGACAGGAGCCACAATGTTACAAGCAAGTTTTGACCTTTAGAATTTAAGCATGCAATAATTCAGTTATGTTACAACCAAGAGTGACAATAAAATCGACGAAACTCTCACGCGTTCGCTGAGTAATACAACGATTTTACGTCACACTGGACCTTGTAGAATTCATTTTCCAATGATGAAACAACTCATCTTGCAATTGATGCGTCATTCGCGTCAGTGCACACCTTCCGCATTCAGCGATACATAAGTGAGACGAATAGCGGCTTGGGAGAACTCACGGCTTGGAATCGGCTTAGTTCAAGTCACAACGCTGAATGGACTTACTCGAACAAATATCATCAAAGAGAGGGAGGGTTGTTGAGCATTTGAGCTTAATGATGATGGTTATGAGACAGTTATTCTTTCATATCCGCTCCTCCATGAGAGCCTTGATCGTCTCTCTTCGCGCAAGAACCAGATTGATTCTTGTGTGGAGATTTCTTCCCAGTGCTCGGTTCAATCAATAGAGTTTTCGCATGAGGAATTCTCCAGATTGATGACCGATTACTAATGCATTAGAAAATGTACACTTTAGGCCACGTGAAAGTAATGTGAGGAATTGTGGTCTGTCGAGGCTTTCTCGCCAGCGACACAGATGTCCATACGGAGGACACAAACAGCTTGTGAGTCACAAGTTGTGACAGGTTTGAAGCGGATCCCCTCGTCATCTCGATCATCATTCATACCGCCGGAACCGAAGACAATCACTAAGGACAAGCCCCAAGGGTCTCCGGTGGTCTCCAGTCACAGTCAGCCCTCAGTCACAGGCTCCGGATCGAGCGTGAATCCGAAGGTCTCATGCCTGATGTGACACCCTGACGGTCAAACATTATCGGCGGCCTGATGGATACCAAGGGGGAGTCTTGACTCCAAACTACAGTAGTTGTCCGAGGTATCGTAGGGCTAAGCTGAGGATTGCCACAGGCTCCGACTCATCCTCGAGGGACATCAAGTCGACAACGACGACCATCCACCCTGTGGTAAACGGGAGAGGCCTGTAGAGGCCGTTGGAGTGAACGGTGAACTAGAAGTTGTCAATGACCACTGCTCATACACACTGTATGACGCAATAGCTCTCACATTGTATCATAATGATCCACTGTGGGAAATATTGCGTGCCGTAATTGACACTGAATCGAACTCATACACCTTGAAACGAAGCGGATACAATCGCTAGAGACCAATGGTATAGCACACAGTCATATCGGTAAAGTTATCGACCCCGAGGACCAATCTAAGAGGGGTTCTTGTATGGTATAAACTCGCATGGAACTTCAATCTTGGCACCGTCTTGGGGGATCCGTACTCGAGAAGTCGACGGGGCCGCCGGCAACTCCTGCTTCGGTCGAAACGCTGTAGGGGTAGGACGAGGAGGTTCTGAGTACAGTCGGGGAGGTGCAATGTCGTTGAAGTTGCCCGTTGGTCCCATCCGCAGCTGTAGACCACTATTAGAGATAGCAGGACTCTGATACGTGTACCGAAATGGTCGCTGGGATGCCGACACAGGAACAGCTTGTGGTCTGCCGAGCCGCGTCGGAGAGGTTCCTGACTGATTGGACCACGTTGATGGTGGCGGAGTTGTACCACGAGTCGATGGTCGAGGACCAGATCTCTGCGAGGGGGCCGAGGATGGTGTCCGACCCTTCCCTCGGAGGCCCTCTTCAGCTCTTCGCTGACGTGCCCACGCCTGCGCCCTCCTCTGACTCCGCTTTCGTTTCCTGGCTGATGGCGTAGAGGTTCCCGTCGCCCTTACTCGATCGTCCTCCGTCAGTGGACTTGCCTTAGCACGAGCCATAGCCTGATACAGCGCCGCGGTGATCGCATGTGGCGCCGTGGGGGGCGGGTTGCCTGAGGGTCCGAAGGGGACAGGATGAGGCGCGGCCGGCACCCAACTTGTAGACGGCGGTATTGCATTGACCATGGGAGGGTCAGAAGTAGGAGAGGGAGTGGTAGCAGTAGTCGGCCTGATCGGAGACGCCAGGGTCCGGGCATCTTGCCCATCCCACTCGGATACGTGGATAGGGCTGCGACACGGCGCTCCGGAGTTATTGCCTCTCTCCACCGTGGTGAGAGGAGCAATACTAGGCATACTAGGGGGCGGCGGGGGCTTCTTGCCAGGGACATCGGTACTCCGGGCCCCTGGGGTAGATGTCGGAACACTAGGCCTGCTAGAGGAGGCCGGAGACCTCTTGGGGAGGGCATCGGTACTCCGGGCCCCTGGGGTAGATGTCGGAACACTAGGCCTGCTAGAGGAGGCCGGAGACCTCTTGGGGAGGGCATCGGTACTCCGGGCCCCTGGGGTAGATGTCGGAACACTAGGCCTGCTAGAGGAGGCCGGAGACCTCTTGGGGAGGGCATCGGTACTCCGGGCCCCTGGGGTAGATGTCGGAACACTAGGCCTGCTAGAGGAGGGCGGAGACCTCTTGGGAAGGGCATCGGTACTGCGGACCCCTGGGGTAGATGGGGGAACACTAGGCCTGCTAGAGGAGGCCGGAGGCTTCTTGGGAAGGGCATCGGTACTGCGGACCCCTGGGGTAGATGGGGGAACACTAGGCCTGCTAGAGGAGGCCGGAGGCTTCTTGGGAAGGGCATCGGTACTGCGGACCCCTGGTGTAGATGGGGGAACACTAGGCCTGCTAGAGGAGGGCGGAGACTTCTTGGGCAGGGCATCGGTACTGCGGACCCCTGGGGTAGAGGGTGGGGCAGTAGGCCTGCTAGAGGACGGCAGAGGCTTTTTGGCAGAGACATCAGAACTGCGGACTCCTGGGGCGGAGAGGGGTACAGTAGGCCTGCTAGAGGACGGCGGGTACTTCTTGCTAGGGACAGCAGCACTGCCGACCCCTGGTGTCGAGGGGTGTTCAGTACCCCTGCTAGAGGACGGTAAGGGTGGCTTTGCAGGGAGGTCGCTGACATAGGCCCCAAAGGGAGAAGGGGGAACAGTAGTCGAGGGCGGGCGGGGTACCTCGGCTGCAGAATCTAGTCGTCGTCCGCGTACATCATCAGGACCACGGTCCAGTGCCCTTGGGACGAGGGTGTCCTCCATGGAAACAGTTTGGGCTCTCTCCTCTAGCACTTCAGCCGCTGAAGTCGCCAGGGTGGACTCCACAGCGAGCGGATGAACCTCTCCATCGATAGGCCTACCGCCTTCCTGATGATACACCTCTTCCTCAACAATGCTTGGAGAACCTTTGAGGCCTTCCGCCACTGTATTGTTCGGTGGTGGACTCAGCAAGGGCACATCCTCCCGCACAGTGCTTTCTACGACAACTCCATCGTCTGCTGACCGGGCCTCGACTTCCTTCGATAACTGCTCGCCCACCCTCCGACATTTCTTCTCTGGCTCCTCGTCACTATCATCCAACTCTACAATGGACTCAACTCGGACTGGCTCAACCTCATCCTTCTTAGTGGTCCCGGCCATGCTTGTGTCCGGGGAGGCCTTAAAGGTTGATTTTAGTCGGCGCATATCCTCCAAGTGAGGGAGATAGGGTGCCCACCAACATGGGACCTCCGCCATCAGGATCAGGTCCGAGATCCTTGTCTCTTCCACCACAACGGTCTTGCCATCCTCTGCCTTATACGGCTGGCACGGTCGGATGAGCTCGATGCAAAAGAACGAGTCCGTGATGCTGACAGCGCTCTCCTCCACCTGACCAGAGCTCATAGGAAGACTCTGCAGCTCCTTGAGGACCTCAATGAACCGATATTCCAATAGAGAGAGTCGTCGAGCTGGACCATGGACCAATGCAAGGCTCCGGCACAAGGCGGCTGAGAAGAACCTCGAGCCCGAGGGGGCCTCCTGGTCGGCTCTGAACTTCTTTATTTCTTCAAGGAACCAGTCAACGTCATCCTCGGACATCAATAGAGTTTGCTCCAGAGGCACCACAAGGTTCCGTTCCCAGCGCACCTCCACCTCAGAAGCCAAGACCGAGAGGCCCCCCGCTAAGGTCTCTGGCCGTCGCATCCACGGACTCAAAGGGGCATCCCAGATAGCACTGCCTGGAGAGACCGGACTGCTGCTGAAGAGCGGTGCGAGCTGAGCTCGTGTCACCACCGCAGGCATAGGGGAAAGGGGGGGAGGCTGGAGGCTGGAGGAGCATTTTAGGTCCGTGACCAGAACCAAACCTCGTCTGATGGTGAAGGCGGAAATGCTATAATTTCAATGTCAATGGTGACACGCGAACATCATAGAGGTGGTGGTGAATACAAAAAAAACCTCCATCTGAGCTCATGCGAGCAAAACGTGTCTGTTCGCAGACATCGGAAAAATGCTACGACGATGAACCTTCTGGTCCCTTCTTGTCGACTATAGAGGGGTTGTAGTAGGCCTGAGGTCAGCGAAAATCCTTCGATCGATAGCCCCAACACTTACCCTTGTCGACTTCTCTATTTCCTCCCTCGAAGTGCTACTATGCTGAGGCTCATCATCTACTGTGATCTCCGGTTTGTGGAACTTCGGCCGTTGCTGGGACCCTGAGGGCCCAAGTCTCGGAGTATCGAGGACATCCCGCGTTGAGCGTCGAGACATGTCCACTTCACTCCAAGGCTCATCTGATGAGATTCTTTATCAACGAGGCATAGACTATGCTATGCCGCATAGCATAGTCGAGCCTTACGTGCCGACCCAGGAGTGCCCGTTCCTGCCGAAACCCCAGCTGCCAGGAAAGGCGAACGGATGTCCTGACCGCCCAGTGACGGGGAGAAAGACTTGTGAAGAGGGAAGACATCCGATGGTGTCTGAAGGGCGATCACTATGACGATAGTCATAACTCAACCACCTTACTTCAGGAGGTAGCCTCGCCGGGCTATTAGCCTCAGTCGAGGGAGTCCCAACTCCCTTCCCTGCATTCCTCGCTGGCGGGCTCAGCAGAGCTTCTGTTATCGGACTCGTCTCCACGCTGGCCTTCACTTGTTTCCGTAATAAGAATGCCTTATAGAGGCAGAAGAGCAGACAAAGCACGGACACTACAGCCGCTACAGCCACAGCACACCAGAGGGAATACCAAGACACCACAGCAATGGTACTCTTCTGTGATGAAATGACCGTCTCCAGCTCCTCTCGTTGGACCTCTTTCTCCTTCAGGGCAGCCTCCTGAGCCTCCCTAGTCGAATCGTCCAAGCTGAGCCTAGTTCGCAAGTCCTCTAGTTTGGCCGTGAGAGCTTCTATTTCGCTCCGACTCCTCTCGCGCTCTCGTTGGAGAAGACCAAGACTGTCATCACAGAAATCATAGGGGCTCTTAGACGCACTCAAACAGCTACAGGTCCCGACCCCACAGCCACTAGGGCTAACATAACACCTGAAGGGAAAAGCCTCTACAGTGTGAACCAAACCGTTATGCAAATCGCCTTTTCCAAGATAACTTGTCCATTGAGGAGAGTTTATCAGTGAACTTCGTGAAGCGTAAAGATAATAATAATGAAAATCGATTGACAATCGATCAGCAATCGTTTGAGAACCGTTTCATCATCCACTGTCAAGTTTTGGGCGCGCGAAAACTCTCGGACCCTGCTGACTGACCCAAACCCATATTCAACTTAGTCTTCTTGTATACAAATGAGCCGCGAAAGCCAGCTGAGTGTCACTGCGCGCGAGAAGACCAGACTGAAGCGTGCTATGGCAAAGCAAACCCTGGGAACCAGCAAGGAGATATTTGAGTCGGCTGGCGTTCCCATGAAGCGGAAGTCATCACGTAACAGGGTGCTGGGAGAGTTAGGAAAGGTAAGCAAATCAGTTGGGAAGCCTTGTCTGACCGCCCGACACAAGGAATTGAGACTTGATTGGGCTCGACAGAACATCAAGAGGGATTTTTCAACCATTCTATGGACCAACAAATGTCGAGCGACCCTGGATGGCCCTGATGCGTGGGCATCAGGATGGATTCTCCATGGCACGTCACCCCCACCGAGGATGAAGCGACAACAGAAGAGTGGTGGCGTCATGTTTTGGGCAGGTATCATCGACGATACCGTGATTGGGCCCTTCAGAGTAGATAACGGAGTCAAAATGGACTCCAAAGCGTAACAAACGATGCAGCTTAGGCACCTGATCCCTTTTTCACCAGGTACACCGAGCTTCTTAGGAAAACTTCCATCCCCTGGTATCGATCTCACCCAATCAGCTTCAAAACGAAGTTTGGTATTCATGCATGATAACGCTCCGCCTCATTTAAGCAAGTTCACCACTTCCTTCCTGGAAAAGAAACGGATTCAAGGGCAAAAAAATAATGCCTTGGCCCAGTTTCTCGCCAGACCTGAATCCCATAGAGAACTACTGGGCCCGTCTGAAGCAATAATTCAATCTTCTGCGCTGCTCTATAGATCTTTCCTCTGATCCCAGAGCGATATATCGCCAAGGCATCCAGTTCTACACCATAGATCAACTGTTGTGTGCCGTACAGAAGGCGGTGAAGGAGGTGACGGCAGAAGACATCCGAAAACTAACATGTTCGATGGATAGACGTGTTGAGAAGTTCCTTCAATGAAGTGGTGGCCATGTTGGCTCATGAATGTGAATTTTCTCCTAGAGCTCCTCCCAAAATAGCACAACAAGGTTGAGCTGCATAACGGTTTGGGTCAGTCAGCAGGGTCCGGAAATTTTCGAAATTTATTATTATCATTACGCCTCTCGAAGGTTATCGATAAACTCTCCTGAATGGACAAGTTACCTTGAAAAAGGTGATTTGTATAACGTGTTGGTTCACACTGCACATGAAATGAAGACTCCCTACTCCCACCCTCACCAAGCCTTAGATGCAGATAAGAGACCAGTGCCGCAACTGGATGTACACTCACAGGCCGTGTTGGAAGCTATAGCAGCTCGAGCGGAGCCTTGTAATGTGAGTAGGAGCAACAGTTCAAGAAGACAGCAACCTCGACCTCTTCGTTGATTGTTGAACATCAGGGTGAAAAAGACACTGAATAGGGAGGCTCCCGCTGAGGCCAACGATTCCCCCAACTCAACGACCATGCCACAATAGTCGGCAAATTTGGTGATAATACAGCGATAATGGTAGTAAGTTTTTGAAGCAATCGAAATGCAATCAAACTTCGTCCGGGGGTATCCTTCTGGCCTCATCTGCATCCCCCAAGAGTTGCAAGATCCGATCCTCATCCCACTCGGCACCGTCCAGGAACTCTATTATATCGCAGGCTGCTCGTATCTGCGACACAAGTTGTACAAGAGTTGGTATGAAGACGAGCCATTACATATTGTAATGCACTGACTCTGTGACGGAGCTCGGGTAAATCAGCCGCCGCATACTGTACTAACTCCACTGTGAGATCAGAGATAGTTTGCTCTACTGTCTTGCTAGGAGTGAGCCCTCCAACAGGAACCGGCTCGGCCGTGTCTCTGAGGACTATAGTCCCTGGGATGTCCCCTAAAGAGAACCCATCAGCATCACAGGACTTCAACCTCCCTCATATTCGCGACAACGTATAAAACACGTAAGTCTCACCTTCCCCATCAGCATACTTAGCCGACCCCCCAAGAGGGCATACCACCACAGTGTTCAGGGTCAATTCCCTCAAGAGGGACTGTGCAGCACTAGGAGTCGAGTCACTCGGGCTGGTTACATCGAAGAGCCACTGGATGTCCTCCAGCGGCCACAACAGACGGTGACACAGCTGGGTTACCTGTCACCACACTACTTCTCCGATCACGCCAGCTTGGCATCACCTGTTCAAGTTGCCCTGGTTCCATCACAGGCCTAGGAGCAGCCGCCTCCTGAGGAATAGTGCCCTCATCATCATCATCCACAATACTCATGGCCTCCCCCTCAGAACCTACCGCATCTCCCTCAACCTCCTCTACTACCGATGGGGACCGTCCCTCTCCCCCCTCTGCGGTCTCCAATGGTTTCGTCGACGGGCTCGGTGCCCCCGACACCATGAGCTCATCATTACCATCACCAACAGGACTGTTTTTCTCCCATTTATCATCAGCCCATTTCCACCGACATTTGGATTCCGAGTCGCTCCAGTCATTTCGAGGCCTCCGCTCAGGGCTTCCACCACCCTCCTTTCCCTCCTCAGATTCCCAGTACCTCCCCCATTGCCCCATACCATCCTTCCACCAATTCTGGCTGTCCTTACCCTCCCATGACCAGTCCTTATCCCCCTTTCCATCTCCCCATGCCGTCTTACTGTCACTCCAACTCTTCTTCCAGCCGGTTTTGTTAT